AAATTCACTTTTCTGAAATTAAAATTCTTATCCATCTAATTAATCAGCCTCTATTTCTTCATCTTTTCTCTCTTTCTTCCTTTACTTTTTTCATTCGATCAATATTCACTTTTATCCAATTCCATGCTATTGTTATTATTATTATTATTATTATTATTATTATTATTATTATAATTATTATTATTGTTATTATTTTATTACTACTATTATTATTATTATTATTATCATTATTATTATTATTATTACTATTATTATTATTATTACTATTATTATTATTATTACTATTATTATTATTATTATTGCTATTATTAATTAACCTAAAATATTAATTTTCTGCTAATTTTTGTCCCTTCTCATTGCTATTGCATTACGAATAATTTTGTTGAAAATGGCATAAATGAAAAAAGAGGCAAAAAAGGAAAAAAACAATTTCTACTTATTACACTCCATTTTTTTAATCGTTATAATGCTTTCTCGTTTTTTTTTTTCTTAATTTTTTGCCTCATTTCTATAAATAATATCAATGATAAATGATGAAACATTATTAAGCTCCTATTCCTATTCCAATTATGTTATCTATTTCATTCATATCCATTATTTTTACTTTTTTTTTTTTTTTAGAGGAGACATTTCATTTTCTTCGTGGCCTTCGATTATTTTTCGAATTTTTCACTAAATTTTATCTTTCAAAATATTATTGCTTTGAATGAAAGGAAGAAAAAAATTTTCAATAGAAAACAACGACAATCGACAAAAATGTCTTTGGTTGGAAATGAATATCAATTATCTGGAACTGATACTGATACTAATAATATTATTAAATGGGGACAATTTAATTCAAATGAATTAAATTTTGAAAATTGCCGGAATACTTTATTGGAGAAATTCGAAAATTTAGCAAATCAATTTGCTATTGGTTGGAAATATCATATATTAAATACGAATGGTATTAAGGAAGCATGGATTAATTTTGAAGATTTTTTTATTGAAATATGCTTATTAGCAACGGAACAAGAATTACTATCTGATCGTGGTGAAATTAAACCGCGTGATATGACCGGATCATTTCTTACTTATTCAATTACGGATGAATATCGTACACCGGAACAATGTGATGAATTGTTAACAAAAAAAGTTGATGCATTAGCTAGCAAATTGTCACCTAATTGGACAATTATTGTTACAAATACTAATCGTACTTCAAAAGTATGGAAAGATTTCAAGCGTTATTTTCGACAAATATGTGCCAGAGATCGTCGTTGTAAGTTTTTTTTTTTATCATATTATAATTATGCTATCATTAATTAGATGAATAGTTTCCTTCCCTTTATTATTCATCAACTGTGTCATTTGCCCAATCCTATTATTGTTGGTAAATTGTGAATTTATTGATTAATGGACACAAATTATTGATTAATGAATACAAATTACTGATTAATCGGATATAAAATATTAGCAAATTATTAATTATGTCGTATTATTGTTGATAAATAGTGAAATCATTAATTAAAAAATACAAATTGTTGTATAACAATTATACACAAAAATTTGATAAATAGTTATTTACGCCATATTATTGTTGGCAACTCTTGAAATTACTTTTTTAAACGAATATAAATTATCATTTAACAAATATAAATTATCATTTAAGGAATATAGATTATTAATTAACGAATACAAATTAATATATAACAAACACAAATTATTGATTAGCAAACAGAAATTATCGGTTAGCGAATATATATTATTGATTAACGAATATAAATTATCATTTGTTGAAATTATTGATTAACGGATGTAGACTTATTAATTCAAACTATTGCATTAACATGGTCTACTTACTGTTGTATTGACATGTTTTCCAATTTATCCACTGATCGAATAAAATCAAATCTATTTCTCAACTATTTATATCAATTTAATTGATTAATTTCACTTATTTAGTATTTCTTTATGGAACAATAAAGATTTACAAAATATTTGAGCATAATTTATAAAATCTTTGAATTTTAAAAATTCAAATTAAAATTCAAACCTTTTTTTTATGCTTTTTAACTTTTCCTCACTAACAATTTATGAATATGTTTTAATATCTAATAATGTAATTGGCTTAATGAAATAGAAATACTATATTTTATCTCAATATATTTTTCCTCTTTTCCTTCTAGTCCATAAATTAAATTCTATTTATCGAATGGTGAAATTAAAATGAAATTAGATTTTTTTTTTCTACTCAAAAATGAAATCGATCGTATTAGTTCATCAATCAGTGATTATGATAAAAGAGAGAGAGAGAGAGAGAGAAAATATATATGTGTATTTCAGCACTTTACTATTAAAGAGTAATACGAATTAATGGCTTGAAAATCATTGTAATATCTTTAAATCAAGATAAGTATAAATGAAATTAAGGAATGAAATAATTAAATTTAAAAGTAAGAAGGAAATTATATATTGATTTATAAACATATACGTAAAGAAAGAAAGAAAGAGAGAGAGAGAGGGAGGGAGAACTTTATTATTATTATTACAGAAATTTGCATTACATTGTAAATAAAGCTGTTAACATTGCGCATACTTTACTTTTTTATTTTTATTTACTTTCCTTTTTTAATGCTCGAAATTTTACATATCGGAAAAGTTTTCTCCCTCTTCCACTTCTCATTTGTAACTTTTGAAATTTAATTATATTTATATTTAAGTTTTTTTTTTCTTTTTTATCTAGAGCACCAATGCAGTAACTTACATTTTTTTTTTTTTTTTTGCTAATTAACATACATTAATTATCAACATAACATTATTGGCTGTAATGCGTTTGTAAATTATTTAATATATTCAAATTTTTAAATTTTTTGATTGATATTTTGCAGTAACCTTTAACCTTTTATATATTATCTAATCCCATATCGTTTGTAATTTTTACTAACACTTTTGTTTATATTGAAAATTTTTGCAAATGCAAATATTAACATTACTCTTATAATTTTATCTTAAATTAATGTTAATGTTTAAAGGAAGACAAATTATGTTTATGGTTTATATCATTTTTTATTATTATCTAAGAAAAAAAAAAGTTATACAGTATTTTTGCATAATTTTTTAAGAATATTTTTTTCTGTTATCATGCTTATCATTTATCAAGCATTCATTTTCATATAATGATTAGTTTAATTTAATTTTGATATCTTGTTCGTTACCAATTTTTTATAATAATAATGACGATGGTGATAATGATGATGATGATGATCATCATCATCATCATCATTATCATCACAATGTTACTTCAACAATGATACTTTCATCATCATTTCATTCTTCTTTCTACACTAATGGAGATTTATTTATTTTATTCATTTATTCTTTTTCTTTCTTTTTTCTGATGATGATGATCACCATGACGACGACGATGATGATGATGATAATAATAATGATAATAATGGTGGTAACAATGATACTTCCATCATCATCATCATCATCATCATTATTCCACTCTTCTTTCTGTGTTAATGGGATTTATTTATTTTGTTCATTTATCGGTTTCAATAAAAATTCTTTCCTGTCATTTTACTCAGTCTTCTGGGACAATATCTGCTAAGCATCAATTTAAACAAAAAAATGAAAGCGAAAAAAAAAGCTATCTTTTATCATCAATTGCTTTCCTTTTCATCATCTCATTTTTTTTTCATTTTATTTTTTCTTTTTAGTCCATCTTCTCTCTTTTCTTTTTATCTTTTATTCACTTGGTTTTAATTAATTTTCATTGGATGTTAAACTTTTCAAAACTACCTAAATAGTAAAGTGCCATTTGTATGCTATCAATAACAGTCTCTTATTTAATTTAATCTTATATCCTTTTATCTTTATTTTGACATTTTCTCTCTTTCATATTTCCCTCTCTTCTCTCTCTGTTGTTCCTTTTTGCTTTTCGGAAATTTGTTCAAGAAATGTTTTAATGTCCCCGAGAGAATACTACTAACTAACTATTCGTCATGAATTCATACCGATGCAATATACTGACTGCCTCTTCTTATTCATTCAAATTTTTCAATCATCATTCATTTTAATGTTTAGCTCTTCTATTACAGTTTAATCTTATATGCTAACTTCATCTCATTCCCTTTTTTTTTTTTTTCATAATTAAGATTTACATATTTTACATTTAAATCATTTAATTTTCAAATAAAAAAGACTGTATTGAAATTAATGAAAATTATGCAAATTATTGCAAATTTTTTTCTTTTTTGATATCTTTTAATATTTAGAAAACACAATGAATTTTCTTTTCTTTTTTTTTTTTTGAAATAAACAAAGATGAAGTAAAATTTAAAGTTTGCGGAA